ACCCTTGGATACCGAGTAATGTCCAGGGCTGGTGCTATGTAGCCCAATTAGTGCCAATTATGGCAGCTATAGACCAAAAGGAACACCAGGTAAAAGCCAGTACATACCCAAAACACCAACTAACTCTGAGACAGAGAAGGGAAACCAAACAAGAAAAGGTAGATCTCTTCTCTACAGGGGATAAGGTTTGGTCATGGTTTCCTACTTACACTGGATGGGGAATAACACACTCATGAACAAAATAAATAATTACACAAACATTATTGATGATATACTGGAGAGGAACTCTAAGGACATAGGGTTGCTAAATACTGAGACCAGAGCTATTAGAGAAAACAGCTGGAGATGCAAGAATTAGCTATTGAAAGTATGAGTGCTGCTCTGACAGGTTTGTGTGAGATGACAGAGGATTATGAATGTTGTACTTGGATATATAATACCACAATGACTGTTCCAGATTATTATGAAATAATAAAGCAACACAGGGAACAGGTAGATGGTTTGATGGAAGAAGCTAGAGCTATAGGAAAAGATGGATGGACTCCTTTTGATTGGTTAGGATCAGGATTTGGTTCCATCTTTTCATGGATGAAAGGTATCGCTGTAAGCATAGTCATGATATTGTTTTTTGTTTTATCTTTATATCTATGGTTTAAATGCTCATTATATTGCATTGCTAGAGCTACCAAGCCGCAGAATACAAATGAAGGTTATCTAGCTATGTACAAAAAGATGAATGAAGTAAAGAATTGAGATCATGTTCATGATCTTAGAGGGGATTGAAAGAATCTAGATAACTTCCATTTTGTATTATGTACGCCATTTTAAGTATTAAGTATTAAGTTAGCTTTTTGCAGAAATATTAAAAGTTTAATGAAACTGTTTCTGGTTGTTCAAGGATGTATCAACAGAAGCTAACACGACCCTGACAATGTCTTTGTCTGGCTGTTTTCCCAGAAAGTTAGCCAAAATAATTTGTACCAAGAAATGTATATGTCATGTTTTATGTAGTTAGCTCATGATGGAAAGTTACAAGTTACAGTTTTGAAACTCGCTCCCCCCTCCCTTATTATTTTCTGTATCCTATATAATCTTATTAATGTCTAATAAACTTTGAACATCTCTGAACATAAGCTGTCGTGATTTCCGTGTTCAAGGGGTGTTCCCAGAATTCTGCTGATAAACCAGGAATCTCTCCACAGACCGGGGGTCTCTGAGGGGGAAAGAAAATCATTCCTTTCAGCAAACAACTCCCAATCTCTGTTTATGTTCAGGAGACGGAGGGATGGGATCCCTATCATGTGACCACAGTGGTAGCCAATCACCGTGATCACATGATTAGTGATCACCTCCCGCGTCATTGATAGATTGTATTTGATGTCCTTTATAAATACACAAATGTGATATTCCCGCCGTGAGGTCCCCCAGCCATCGTCCTCTGTCCTATAACATCATTTCTGCCGGTTCCAGCCACTCGCATTAAAATATCAGTGGAGAAAGAATGCGAAGTCAATCAGAATGGCCTCAGTGGGACGGATGCGATTTAATATTAGAACGACCCGGCCGCACAGAGGGAGCTGAAGATTTCAGCAATGTTCATGTAACTCATGCTGCTTCCCTCTCCGGAGTCTCTGCTGTGATAAGTAGGTGGAGGTCATTACAAATGCAGCCATGATTACCTCCACGGTATAAGTGCCACACACTACGCCGGGAAAGAGAGCGCCGTCCCCGAGACTTAGGAGACACTTCTGGGGGTCAGCCCACCTAAACGGATCTTGTAGTTTTAGGTGGTTATAGGAAGACTGACTCTCCCGCGTACTTATTTTACCGCCCACTTCCTTCTTGGACGTCTGTGCTCAGACTATGCAGGGCAAAGCAACAACAAGTTCCCTTTAATGCACTTCTCCCCAGCAGCATACTCCATACTGACTTTCCTTGTACCTCTCCGCCGCTCCGTTCAGCTGCTGATAGGAAAGTCCAGTATAAGCTTCAAGTCATGGGGATTGTAGATGACACATTGCTGATTGGCCCAGCACGGTCACATGGGGTAAGTCACATGCTTCTTCATACCTGGGGCTACCTAGTATTGCCTTTGTTTCCCAGCACAGAAGTGAAGGAAATGGCAGTGGGTGGGATTAACCTGGGTATGTTTTCTTCTATTGTCTCTTTCAGGTGGGTGGTTTGGGGGTGTTAAAAAACAAAAAGTTGAGCTGAAGTTTTACTGTCCACTCAGCTTGGCACAATACAGCCAGCTGGGGCTGTACGCATGCATGGCTGCAATGTTTTGGCATTTTTACTGTGGGGAGCAGATTTTGACAGGCGGTAACTTCTGCCAAACTCACCCATTGAGTTCAGTGCATGCAATTGCAGGGCTGGAGTGCAGCATTACAGGGTAATATCAGGCAGTGAGGAGGTGATATCTCGCCTCCTCACTGCCTTTCAAATGTCCTCTTAAAATATGGATTGCTCTTCAGATGGCACTGCAGTTCTCCTTAAAGTGGCTGTAAAGTCTGAAGGATTTTTACCTTTATGTATTCTATGGATGAATGTAAAAAGCCTTCTTTGTGCAGCAGTGCCCCCATCCCCCCAATACTTAGCTGAGCCCCATCGAGATCCAGCAATATGAATGACAGCCTCGCTGTCCCAGGTCTCTGCCTCCGCATTGGCTGAGACAGCAAGCAGGAGCCATTGACTCCTACTGCTATCAATCAATCACAGCCAGTCAGCCAATGAGGAGATAGAGAGGGTGGGGCTAAGCCGTGGCTCCGTGTGTGAATGGACACACGGAGCAGTGGGTGCCCCCATAGCAAGCTGTTTTCTGTGAGGGCACCCGACAGGATGAGCCAGGAGAGCCTGCGGGGGGACCCGAGAAGAGGAGGATCCGGGCTGCTCTGTGCAAGCCGCAGGTAAGTATAGACATGTTTATTATTTATCCACTTGCCTACTGGGCCAATTCTGACATTCCTCTCCTACATGGAAAAATTCTCTTTTTTTGCTAGATAATTACTTAGAACCCCCACACATTATATTTTTTTTTTAAGCAGAGGCCCTAGAGAATAAAATGACGGGGGTTACAATATTTTTATGTCGCGTGGTATTTGCACAGTGGTTTTTCAAAAGCATATTTTTGGGGAAAAAAAAACACTTTAATGAATTTTAGTGAACACAAACACAATATAATACCCAATTTCTTTGTAAAATATAAAAGATGATGTTATGCCGAGTAAATAGATACCACACAAGACATGCTTTAAAACTGCGCACACCAATGAAATGGCGGCAAACCGGTACTTTAGTTTATCCATAGGCAACGGTTTAAAAGGAGGGGCTCTGACGTCACGACGCTATTAGGAATCACACGGCGAGTACAGATAGTGTGCAGAGCACACACAGAGGATGGTTACTATTTCAGAAACACATTTAATATATAGATATGTGAGTGAAGTACTTATGCAGTATAAATAAACCTTTTACAGAAAGATAAGGCACTATATGTATTCTTTTTTTCATGGTCACCAACAATATGGAGGAATAAAGAGGAGAGGTGGAGGAAGTGGAAAGCCCCCTGGAGGATAGAGGGAGAAATCCATCCATCCATATTACAGACAGGGATCAGCAAGCCTAAGAGACCCCCTGAGGGAAAAGTGAATGATTACATCCAGCTACCCAACGTTTACAAGTCTTTACAGGTTACCAAATGAGAGTTCCAGAGGAGATTTGGTGCTGGAATTATTGGTGTGACGTTGGCGGTGATACCTCGCATGTGTCGTGCGATCGCTGTGTACATGTGCATGCAGGGCCGACACGTGTGTTCACCTTTGCATGTAAGCACGAGGGGGATGGGGGTTGTTTTTTTTTTTTATTATTTCTTTTTTTCACTTTCATTGCTATCAGAAGGGATGAACAACATGCTTTATGATCACATGGGCCATGACAGGTCCTCTTCTATCAGACCCCAGATTTCTCCACAGATTGGTCTGATTGGCTGCTTCCCCGGCTGGCAGGCGGAGAGTAAACCCAGAGCTGGAAGTGACAGAATCCTTGTTGCTTCCAGTTTCTCATTTCACATAGTGGGAAGAACAACATCAGTTCCTCCCATTGTGTGTGGGGGAGCCGATGCCACCGGTCGCATCTTTGCCGGGCTTCCCGATTGCACAAGATACACGGGAAAGGTGGCGGGGGGAGGGGATGAGACCCCCTTCTTCCACCTGAAAAGTAATCCAACGGCGCATAGTCGCTCAGATTACTTTTACATAAAAGAGAATCGTTGGCACTGAAAAATGATACGTGATCATGGTTGTCGCCTCAGCCATTGTCCCGGTATAACCACTTCAGTACCAGGCTGTGTATATATACGTGCATCCGTATTGAAGCGGTTAAAGAGACCCTGTCACCACCTTAAACAAATGACAGGTCAGAGCACACACAGTATTTTATATGCCTACTTCTGGTGTTTTTACTTTCTGTGAATTAGTTTTTATTCACCTGCAATGTGTCTTTGAAGCTAAAAAATGTGATTAGCACAGCCCCCTCCCTTCTTGTATGCCATAGCCCTCCCCTCTACTGCGAGTGTCTAATTGCTATGTGTGCTGGCCCAGCTCCTCTGCCCCTCCCCTCACTATATAACCTTTTATGGAGGAGACAGGGAATACTATAGTGTGTCACTTGATTTACAGCTTGAAGTCAACATCCAAGATGGTGGCGACCAGCAGCCGATGCTCAGTTTGGTGTGTATTGATAGAGAGGTTTTTTTTTTTTTTTGTTAGGAGAGTGCATGTGATCAGCATTGTCCAGACAGAGAGGGTCAGGGGTCCTGTAGTCTCATAGGACAGTCAGAGGAGAATGAAAACTCCTCCTACAAGCTTTAACCACTGCTGGGTTAGACACTGAGAGAAGTCATAAGACTGCTATATATTGCTGATGAGAAAAGGTATTTAGCAGTTTATATTTACTAAAATAATTGTATTTCCATGCTGTGTGTACTGTTTGCAGGGTCCTGGGGAGACCAGATATAGTAAGTGCAGGGTCCGGGGAGAGCGGATATAGTGAATGCAGGGTCCGGGGAGAGCGGATATAGTGAATGCGTGGTCCGGGGAGAGCGGATATAGTGAATGCGGGGTCCGAGGAGAGCGGATATAATGAATGCGGGGGTCCGGGGAGAGCGGATATAGTAAGTGCAGGGTCCGGGGAGAGCGGATATAGTGAATGCAGGGTCCGGGCGGATAGAGCGGATATAGTGAATGCGGGGTCCGACATGTCATGTTTTATGTAGTTAGCTCATGATGGAAAGTTACAAGTTACAGTTTTGAAACTCGCTCCCCCCTCCCTTATTATTTTCTGTATCCTATATAATCTTATTAATGTCTAATAAACTTTGAACATCTCTGAACATAAGCTGTCGTGATTTCCGTGTTCAAGGGGTGTTCCCCCAGAATTCTGCTGATAAACCAGGAATCTCTCCACAGACCGGGGGTCTCTGAGGGGGAAAGAAAATCATTCCTTTCAGCAAACAACTCCCAATCTCTGTTTATGTTCAGGAGACGGAGGGATGGGATCCCTATCATGTGACCACAGTGGTAGCCAATCACCGTGATCACATGATTAGTGATCACCTCCCGGTGTTAAGACCCATCTAAAGGGCTGCCAGGAGGGGGGGGGGAGGGGTTATCAGGTTTTAGAGGTTGGGTTTGGATCTAATGTAACCATCGTCATTGATAGATTGTATTTGATGTCCTTTATAAATACACAAATGTGATATTCCCGCCGTGAGGTCCCCCAGCCATCGTCCTCTGTCCTATAACATCATTTCTGCCGGTTCCAGCCACTCGCATTAAAAAATATCAGTGGAGAAAGAATGTGAAGTCAATCAGAATGGCCTCAGTGGGACGGATGCGATTTAATATTAGAACGACCCGGCCGCACAGAGGGAGCTGAAGATTTCAGCAATGTTCATGTAACTCATGCTGCTTCCCTCTCCGGAGTCTCTGCTGTGATAAGTAGGTGGAGGTCATTACAAATGCAGCCATGATTACCTCCACGGTATAAGTGCCACACACTACGCCGGGAAAGAGAGCGCCGTCCCCGAGACTTAGGAGACACTTCTGGGGGTCAGCCCACCTAAACGGATCTTGTAGTTTTAGGTGGTTATAGGAAGACTGACTCTCCCGCGTACTTATTTTACCGCCCACTTCCTTCTTGGATGTCTGTGCTCAGACTATGCAGGGCAAAGCAACAACAAGTTCCCTTTAATGCACTTCTCCCCAGCAGCATACTCCATACTGACTTTCCTTGTACCTCTCCGCCGCTCCGTTCAGCTGCTGATAGGAAAGTCCAGTATAAGCTTCAAGTCATGGGGATTGTAGATGACACATTGCTGATTGGCCCAGCACGGTCACATGGGGTAAGTCACATGCTTCTTCATACCTGGGGCTACCTAGTATTGCCTTTGTTTCCCAGCACAGAAGTGAAGGAAATGGCAGTGGGTGGGATTAACCTGGGTATGTTTCTTCTATTGTCTCTTTCAGGTGGGTGGTTTGGGGGTGTTAAAAACAAAAAGTTGAGCTGAAGTTTTACTGTCCACTCAGCTTGGCACAATACAGCCAGCTGGGGCTGTACGCATGCATGGCTGCAATGTTTTGGCATTTTTACTGTGGGGAGCAGATTTTGACAGGCGGTACCTTCTGCCAAACTCACCCATTGAGTTCAGTGCATGCAATTGCAGGGCTGGAGTGCAGCATTACAGGGTAATATCAGGCAGTGAGGAGGTGATATCTCGCCTCCTCACTGCCTTTCAAATGTCCTCTTAAAATATGGATTGCTCTTCAGATGGCACTGCAGTTCTCCTTAAAGTGGCTGTAAAGTCTGAAGGATTTTTACCTTTATGTATTCTATGGATGAATGTAAAAAGCCTTCTTTGTGTGGCAGTGCCCCCATCCCCCCAATACTTAGCTGAGCCCCATCGAGATCCAGCAATATGAATGACAGCCTCGCTGTCCAGGTCTCTGCCTCCGCATTGGCTGAGACAGCAAGCAGGAGCCATTGACTCCTACTGCTATCAATCACAGCCAGTCAGCCAATGAGGAGATAGAGAGGGTGGGGCTAAGCCGTGGCTCCGTGTGTGAATGGACACACGGAGCAGTGGGTGCCCCCATAGCAAGCTGTTTTCTGTGAGGGCACCCGACAGGATGAGCCAGGAGAGCCTGCGGGGGGACCCGAGAAGAGGAGGATCCGGGCTGCTCTGTGCAAGCCGCAGGTAAGTATAGACATGTTTATTATTTATCCACTTGCCTA